ACTGCTGCATCTTCAGTGCTTAGCACAAATGATTAAATTTGAACCAGAAGCTCCTCTGAGTTTACATATATATAACCTCACTGAATCCTCACAATGCCCTTTGCAGTAGATACCAACAGTATCTCCAACTTACAGAGGAAGAAACAGGCACTGGGGAGGTTAAGTAATTTGCCCAAGGTCATGTGCATACTGGGTTTCAGGTATTCACCCCCAGTTAGCCTGGCTCCACATTTGGCATCTGTCATCACTATATTACATTGCCTTTCTATAGAGTGGACACTCAGTAAGTGTTAACAATAAGAATTATGCTTAGTGACTGCATGGATACGCACCAGGCTCTGTGCTAAGTGCTTTACCTGGACTATTTCAACTCCACAACGACCCTATGAGGTGACTACTATCATTATTCCCATTTTACATAAGAAAAAACAGGTTTAGAGAAGTTTGGCAACCTCTGCAAGGTCATAGAGCTAATAAGTGACATAGCTTCACTCACAACCAGTCTTAACCACTATATTCCACCATTTGAGACCAACAGCTCAGGAATGGATTGACATCCAAGATGAAGAATAGACCTAGGACACCTACCTCTGAAAACATAGTTCAAAGCCTCAGGCATAAAACAGACTCCCTTACAAGTGGGGCAGAAAGCGACCGGTCCAGAAACAGTGACCCAGAATCAAAAGGACATAGAAATAGATGCCAGCACAACGAAAGCCCCTCCTTGACCCCATGCCCCTCATCTCTAGGGGCTCATGAGTTGAGCGGCTCAAGCGGCTCAAAGGTCTTGACGATGGCGAACGCACTTCCTGGGATCCCAAAGCGGTGATCCCGTCAGAGTTCATTCTGAGCCTCGACAGCCTGATGCAGACTCCGTGGCTGCCAAGGAGGGTTAACCACCCAGGAGGGTCTCCACGCGGGGCGGGACCTCGAGGCGGGGCCAGAGGGTAACCGTCCGGGGACGGGTCCTGGGGGGGCGGGTCCTCGGGGCGGGGCTTGCCCTCCGCAGCAGCGACCCGAGTGGAGTGTAAACCTCCCGCGAGGAGCCCCGCAGGGGGGTGGCCACGGGGCGGGGCGCGACCTGGGGCGGTGACGAGAGGGTTAACCGCCCCGGAGGGCCACGTGGGGGCGGGGCCTGGGGGCGGGGCGAGGCCGAGGGAGGTGCTGGAGGCGGAAGCGGCCGGCAGTCTGCGCCCTGCGCCGTTCGGCTATCTTCGGCGGGGTTCCTCCTGACGGCCTGTGACTCCCGGCCTGGAAAGCCAAGCGAGGTGCGGGGGCGGTGACGGGGCACGGGGTGGGCAGAGGGGACGACCCCTGGAGAGATCCAAAGGGGGTGAACCCGCGAGAGTCTCGGGAGACCGGGACAGATGGGCGAGGGCAGGGTGATGGGCCTAAGAGCTTTGGGGCGGGGGTGGGGGGCGAAGAGGGAGTGGAGCGGTGGTGGGCAAACATGCATGAAAAGATGAGACGCCTGGGTGAGGGATCCCCGCCAGGATCCCGCCCTTTACACCCTCTTCTCTCCCAAGTCCTCTCCAGGTCAATCCTGAGCCGGAGGATCAACTTTCAGAAGAGAGGCGCCCCAGCAAGATTCGGGGAGTCCTCCAAGCTCCTCACCTCCATGGGCCAGACGGCCCTGGCAGGGGGCGGCAGCAGCACCCCCACCCCACAGACCTTGTACCCTGACCTCTCCTGTCCCGAGGGCTTGGAGGAGCTGCTGTCTGCTCCCCCTCCTGATCTGGGAGCCCAACAGCGCCACGGCTGGAACCCCAAGGACTGCTCGGAGAACATCGAGGTCAAGGAAGGGGGGTTATGCTTCGAGCGGCGGCCCGTGGCCCAGAGCACTGATGGGGCCCGGGGTAAGAAGGGCTACTCGAGGGGCCTGCACGCCTGGGAGATCAGCTGGCCCCGGGAGCAGAGGGGTACCCACGCCGTGGTGGGCGTGGCCACAGCCCTCGCCCCGCTGCAGGTTGACCACTATGCGGCGCTGCTGGGCAGCAACAGCGAGTCGTGGGGCTGGGACATCGGGCGGGGGAAGCTGTACCATCAGAGCAAGGGGTTCGGGGCCCCCCAGTATCCAGCCAGACCTCAGGGTGAGCAGCTGGAGGTGCCGGAGAGGCTGCTGGTGGTACTGGACATGGAGGAGGGAACTCTGGGCTACGCTATTGGGGGCACCTACCTGGGGCCAGCCTTCCGAGGACTGAAGGGCAGGACCCTCTATCCGGCAGTAAGCGCTGTCTGGGGCCAGTGCCAGGTCCGCATCAGCTACCTGGGCGGAAGGAGAGGTGAGGCCTGGGGCAGGTGTGGGGAGAGTGTTCTGTTACTGGTGGCTGTGGTTTGGGATGGAAGCTCATCACTTTACAAGAGCAGAGGGAATAGCCTGACCTGCCTCCAGTGTGGGGAATGGCTAAGGGTCTTCACGCATGTTACCTAATTGTCCCAGCAGCAATAGAGGTGAAAGTGAGGCTTGGGAAAGCAACTTGCTAGTAAGTGGTGAGTCCTCAGAACAGAGGGAGGCGCTCCAGGGATTAGGGATTCACCGCAGATATCAGCTCCCGGAGCAAGAGGTGCACAGGGTTAAATGGGTGCTGGGCGAGGTGTAGGAAGAGAACTGGCAGTGCCAGACGCCCAGGGTGTGTACCAGATTCCCTGGGTTCTGATCTGTCTGTGCTACTTCCCTCCTCAAACCCCAGTAAGGGGCCTTTGGGGCCCTGGGCACCTGGAAGGAGAACACCCGAAGAGGCAGGGCCCTGGGAGGGGACTTCAGGGGAGGGGCCTCCTCTAGAAGGGGTTGGGGCCAGAGCTTGGGGCTGGTTGAACTGTTCTCTGCAAGTTGCAGAGTACTGCTCCTTCGGTCACCCATGGCCAGCTGTTGTAAGAGTGGAGGAGGGAGGGCTCATCAGCCCCAGCTCCAAGGCTTTACAGAATCAAAACCTAGACCAGCTCCACCACTGTCAGAACTTGCCTGGCCTGTTGCTTGGAGGGCCTTAGCTAGAGCTTCACCCCCAGCTGCCTGGGATGTGTGAAGTCTGCAGAGCCTCCCAGCCCCGGGGGGCCTTAGATCTCCCTCTCAACCAAGACTCAGGGCAGGAAAGCAGAAGAGAACTTGGGCAGGACCCCGTAGTTTGAGGAGGTCGGGCCAGTGGCTGCACCCCTACTTACCTTCCCCTCCTTCTCTCTCCCAGCGGAGCCACACTCCCTTCTGCACCTGAGCCGCCTGTGTGTGCGCCACGCCCTGGGGGATACCCGGCTTGGCCAGGTATCTGCTCTGCCCTTGCCCCCTGCCATGAAGCGCTACCTGCTCTACCAGTGACCCCTGAGATACCACAGATTGTGCTGGGGCCTTAAAACCATCCCTCCCCTGGGGAGTGGGGAGGAGGCACCGCTGGCCTAGACCAGCTACTTAAAGCCAGGAGGTGGGGTGGGGGGAGGTGAGGCTGGGCCCCTCCCCCAACCCTAGCTCTGGGGAGCCCTACGGCCCTAGAGCCTTCCCGAGGGGCAGAAGGGGAGGCTATGGCGGCCTGGGCCTGGTGTGCAGGACATTTTTTCAAGTAAAAACAGTAAGAGATGTGCTGTCGTAGAAACCTGTTTGTGTTTTTTTTTTGTTTTGTGCACAAGTGTCCTACGGCTGCCTCAGAAAGGAAAAAGAGGGGATGTGGGCAAGGACAGTGAAGAAGGACACACCACAAGGCTTAGTGCCAGGTGTTTATTTCCCCCACACGTGGGACTGCTCACATATACAACACACACAGGCGTTGGCACCATGGGAGAGAACAGCACCCCTGGCCTCTGAGGGGAGAACAGGACTTTCTCTCAGCCCTTGGCCTCATGGCGGGAGATGGGAGAGGAGGATGGCTTCTCTCTCCTGCCCTCACTGGGGACCGAGCGGGGACCCATGAGCA